TTGTCTTTTAAAAAACCATTTTGGGGGAAAAAAAAAAACCCCACCTTTCCCCCTTTTTTTTTTTTTTTTAACCAAAGACAGCAAAAGCCCTGTTACCTCTTTATTCTCATTTCTTATACTACCTTTTAAAATAAAGCAGGAAATGTGGCCAGCAGCTGGTCCCGTCTCTTCTGCCCCAACACAGCTGAATCCACTTTAGCATAAAGAAAAACAAGGATGCTAAATACACATATACTTTATCACACAGTGATGTTTCACAAAGAAAAATCAAACTCCTTTTATATTGACGAACACTTGACAGGGTCTAGCACCAATAAAGCAAATGACTGGAAGAAAACGCTTTCACCTGCTCCTTAGCCTTAAACACAAAATTTAAGGCTTTAAGAAACAAGACTTCAGAAACACCAAATAGAATCTTTTTTTTTTTAAAGAAGTTAATAAATGAAACTGTTTTAGCGAAGTCCATTCTTTGTGAAACCTCACTTTACATATTATCATTTTCACAATCCTTCTTCCCCCAACTGACATACATATAAACAACCTAAATGTTATAATACAACTGAAAAAACAACCCACTCATCTTTTGTGATAGGGAGAAACACTGACTAGTACAAGAAAACACACGCTATTGTTTGTCAAACTATTTTTCCTCCTATCTCAGTTAATTATGGAGCACTTTTCAAATCATTAGCCTCAAGATACATATTTGCTCATCTCCAAACTGTGCTTAATCATATAAAGTTATAGATTTCTGGATACTGTAAGAGGCTAAATTAAAAACTCTACAGTAAAATTAAGCACATGCATATACATGCAATATCTTTAAAATTTAAAGCGACTTTGAAGTAACACAGGAATTTCCGTGTGCATGGGCACAGAGATTTACTTATGGGAAGCTAAAGTAACGAGTTACTTCGATGCACTGCATTCTTCAAACCGCAATTCTCGTTAGAGGTCCATGCAAAAAAGTGACTCCTTTACGTTAGGATTCCACTGTACAGATATAGCCAGTGTTCAGGTTCTGTTTAATCGGGCAGAACTCTGCATCATGAATTAGAGCAAGCTAGAGAAGGATTTTTTAAAGATACCGTGCATCCCTAACACTAGACAGTATTTTAAACCAACAGGTCACAAATTCTTTTTTTTTTTTTTTTTTCCATTTAAAAAGCAATTTACTTACACTTTTGGGACAGTCCCCTATGATAAAAGGCTGTAAATGTCACATCCCCCTTATTAGCGTATTTCCCCTTTTCAGCTCATCAGATACTTAGTTTAATAGAAAATTCCTACTGCAAATGGCATAAGCATTTATTTTTTAATTCAAAATGCAGCTCCTGTATTGGCTACTATGTGCACGTTCATTTAAAAAAGGAAAAGAGGAAAACAGCTAATTAGAATGATGTGACTGTAATGTTCACTATTAGTTATCATCCAGAGCTAGAAACATTTTGGCAGAGTAGGCCAAGGACCAGAGCAATCATTTCCTGAACCAGTCGCTACAAGAGACTGGCATAAGCAAAGCAAGCTGTCTGATACCGCATTATGGGAATATATTGATCCTTACCAGGTTGCGAGGTGGGAAACGACTGTTCTTTAACCCCTACACAACGGAGCCTGGCAGGGCAAGCACCTAAAAGAGAAACTGTCAGAGAGGTTTTAATAGTAATGTATAACTGAGATGCAGTACAATTTTATATGCATGCTTTCTTTTGCTGATCATTACTATTTTCTTAAGTCTGTCCAGTGACGATGTCTTAATGAAGTTTTTGGTTTGGTTTTCTAAGCAAGCATTTTCGGCTCCTCAGGATAAGCAGGCTAGACATTATCTGACTCAAGACCGGGTAGTCAGCGTTATCTTTACTGGCAACTGCGAAGCGGAACCGAGCACACCTTCATGCGTCAGGTCGGCATGATCTTTTCACCCAAGTGCTGCAAACGGGCTCTGGCGGCACCTCTGCGTGTATATGCGCGTGTCAGTTTGCACGATAATTATCGCACTGCTGTACGCAGCTTTGCACGACTCTCACGCCAAACAGGCTCAGACCACTACCGTCCACACGCCAGATTTACGCGACCTCTGACCAAGGCCACCATCTGGCTCCCAACGTGCCGTTCAAGAGAGATTGATTTTTTTTTTTTTTTTTTTTTTTGTGTTAGCCCGGCCACTTAAGTGCCAGGTTCCCCTCCTCTGCATCTCCCCCAATACCACCCCATCACCACTGTATTTATTCTTTTCCTCCGCACCATCGCCTGCTTCCTCCGCCACGACGCGAGGCCCCTTAGGGGCGAGAACCCCACGAGTACTTGCAGCAGGTACTTGACCCTACATTTTGAAGGAGGCCGCCGCTCGCCGAGCACAGATGGAGCAGAACTCCACCGACACCTGATCCCGGTCCACGTGGAGGCAGATCCCGCCGGGGGCCGCCCACTCCTCCTCCAGGCTGGGAGGCCGGGAGCTGGGCAGGGCGTAGTCGTGGTCGCTGCTCTCGCCGGCAGGCTGGAGGGGCTGGGGATGGCGGGGGGGGCTGCCCGTGTCCCTGAAGAGGCTGGTGCCGAGCTGC